CACAGTTGATTCATTTGTAGTCTCTTCATAGGGTGTATTATTAAGCCTTTCCTATTTAAAGAAATTCAGAAGTTGATGGGAAAGGTAAAAAACCCCAAACTAAAGCCAACAAAATGAAAACAAATACCAAAACAAAACCACTGTGTATTTCGAACTCCAGTATTACTGTTCCTAGAAACACAGCACTGCTGTGGCTGGAAGGCACTTCTGGAGATCATCTAGTTCAACTTTGCTGCTCAAAACTGGGTCAGTTAGGCTTGCCCAGCAGCGTGTGCAGTTGGGTTTTGAATATATCCAAAGATGGAGACTCCATGCCCCCTCTGGTCAACCTGTTCCAGTGTTCAACCACCACCACAGTCAAAACAGAATAAAACACTTCCTTTTTATGTTTAAGCAAAATTTTCTGCATTTCAATTTGTGCCCACTGTCTCTTGTCTTGTCCTGGGTGCTGCAGAGAACAGTCTGGCTCCATCTTCTTTACTCCCACATTAGGCACTTACACATAAGATCCTCCTGAGCCTCCTCCAGGCTGAACAGTCCCAGCCCTCTCAGTCTCTCCTCGTTTATCAGATGCTCCAGACCTTTAACCATCATCATGGCCCTTCACTGGGGTCACCTGAGCATGTCAATGTGCTTTCTGTACTGGGGAGCCCATGACTGGACACAGCAATCCAGCTGTGTCTCACCACTGCTGAGGGATCAGCTCCCTTGACCTGCTGGTGATGCTCTGTCTAATGCAATTAAGGATGCCCACTTATGGAGCCTGTGTCCCGTTCTGAATTGTTTCTGTAAGAGCAGAAAAGACCTAGCATAAGTTTGAGGGAGCGTCACCCAAGAACAGCTAAAACTTAACAGTCTCATCACCAAATTCTGACACCAGGAAGACATATTAAATCCTACGGATGAACAAGTCAGAAGAGGGAACCATGTGAGTTTTAGTTAGAGAATGTGACAGTCACTAATTTCATATAGTCTTTGCATTGGCTCAACAAGAAATTTCATGTAAAATTCCAAGGGCTTCTCCAGGCAGAAGTTTGGGTTAAAACCACAGTACACTCCTGAAGAACTATTTGCACCTCCCTATTTCATTGAAAAATGCTCACCCAGCTCCAACCGCATTTTTTTCCCCTTATTTCAGTTCGAGTAATGCAGCAAAACCATCTCCAACTGAGAAGACATGTTATTTACTGGAACTTTGTTACCCTTTGTGATTCAGAGAACTATTCAACTGCTTCTATTTTCCAGTTTTCAGTGCTGTAGTAGTAGGAGGTTAAAATTTAATGCACTCGCAAAGTCAAATCTCAATTATCTGTGATAACAGAGTGGAGAGAGCACATAAAAGTAAAAATGCAGATAAAACACATTCAGATAAGCTATATGAACAGTGAGGACATAAGAGAAAGAAGAAAGAAAAGTCAGTGTGTGCTGAGCCCAGAAACGGCACTGAGGCAAACTAGGCATTTAATGCTGCAAGTCTCGAAACAAGCTCTGGCTGCACATGTCAGATGTGCAGCTAGTGTACTTCTAGCCATAGCTGGTAAAGCACTACTGTCTAACTGGGCTATGCTGGATCTATTCTTGTCCATTTGGCTTACTTCCTGATTTGGTTCACAGCCCCCCAAATCCTAATCACCCACATACCAGGTTATGTGTGTTCACCAAACACACTCAGACTAGTTCTATCCTCTCCCCATTTCTGGATGAAGCCAAGCAGTTAGGAAAGGAAACCTGAAGCAGTTAACGGTATCCAGTATTCCAAGGATTGGCCTACGGAAATAATACAGACACTGATCCCATAAACCCTCCCAAAACACCTCTCCAGTGCTGCAATAAGACTACTGCTTTCAAATGCTCCTCAAACCCCTTCATTGGAGTCCCCAGGAAACGACACACACCTGTGACATCATGCTTCACTTCAGCAGACTCTGTCATTGTACTCCTCCTACTTTAGGCATTTTGAACTCAGAGGTAAGGAAGTGGGATGACAATTACATTTGCAGACCATAAGAGTCCCACAGGGTCCAGAGAAGAGCTGTGCAGGTGCTGTGCACGATGCCAGCAGCCTGCTCCAAATGCTATCCCTGAGAAGCAGCGGCAAGTGCCAGCCTACACCACAAGCATGGTGGCCACAAAGGGTACAGACTTGCACAATGGACATCTGGATGAAGATCAGGTCCAACGCAGTTATTGGCCCAAGCAGCATTAGCTGTTCTAGAGCTGGCACTTTTGTCTAAGTCAGTACTGGAGACCTGCCCCTACTGCTGCCTCCTGCCCCAAATCAGTCATTACAGTGCACAGAGATAGCACCAGGAAGCAATGGGAATGTGAGATCAAGAGCATCACTCTCTGTGGGTGTCAAGTCCATGGGAATGGATTTTTCTTCCCAGTAATTTCAAGAGTTCATTTTGACCTTAAAATATTCCACAGGCACCAGGAATAACCTTTATGCTTCACCCACATTCAGGGTGATAGAATAATGAGTTCCCCATCTTTTCCATGTGGATATAGCAGTCTTCTCTTCCAGACCTAAATCACCATGAAGCACTGTTCAGTACCATCAAAGCACTGCTCACCTCAGTCCAGAGTTATCAGCATAGCAGCAGATTGATGATTCTCCTATACATATTAAGTGATTTGGACTGGAAACTGCCACTGAAAAGCCAGATCTCATTTTAATTTGTATGTGAGATATATATCTGTGCCCTTTGCCTAAAGGTTTGTCACTCTAGTTGAAAGCTTTACAAAGGTCAGAATATTCAACTTGCTGCTTTAAATTCTAATGACAGATAAGAGATACATTTCTTAGCATAAATATTTATACATAAACATACTTTATATATGCATGTATACACACACGCCCAATCTTAAAATATCTCAGCATATGTGTAAGTATAACAAATACTGCCATAGAGTCACAAGTGAATGGAACACCATACTGTGATTCTGCACTGACCTAAGATGTGAAACTGAATAAAAGAAGAAAATTATTTGAGATAATAGGGCCTGGAAATTTTAGCAGTGTTCCTTCTGCACTAAAATAAGCAAGTTAAGACTAATTGGCAACGTAAGCTCCAAAAGGTCTCAAGATTGACAAAATGATAAACAAGAGATAATCTATCAAATTTAGCAGGAGGCACATTATCACTGCAGAAGAGCTGAAAAATAGAATGATTTGTACCATTCTATTGCATTAATGATCATTTCACAGAAAACAGAGATTTAAAATATTCATCTGCTGCTTTCCCCTACACCCAACAAAGGGCAGGCTCATTGCACTCCCTCTGTGTGCTTGCTTTCTGCTCTGCAGACACTTCCACACTTCGAGAGAACAAATCTGACAAATCAGAAACTGCCTGACCCACATACTGACAACACAACAGCAATGCTGACTGTCTTAGGAGTCACAGGGTGGCCAAAAGAGATTCCACCTCTCTGTCCTGTAAATCGGCAGTCATATGCAGCACTGTGCAAGAAGAACATGTCTGAAGGGCAGCCTCAAAGGACCCAACAGTCTTATATCATGCAACCCTTACTTTTACAGCCCTTTTCTACAAACAGGGCCAGGCTGATGTTTATTCACCCTTCCTGGAGTAAGGGCAGAAGTCAACCAGCAAACAATGGCATCACAATTAAACCATCCTGCTTTCAACCCTGAGAACTACATACTCACTGCACATAGTGTCTTTGCTTTAAAGGTGGCCTTTAAAAAAAGCAAGAACTTAAGTGTCTTAAAAAGATGCAGCTAAAAACTGAGCGGGAAATAAATCTCTCTTCCACAGAAGGTCACTCATCAAGTAAAGAGAATTCAAGAAGTGCTGAACTCCTAAATCTTATAATTTTGTATGCAATCATTTGATTCTAAAGTTACAGCTTGCACTTAATCAGTTACAGTCCATGAATCAAAAATTCCTGTCACATGGGCAATTTTTAGTCAATATGTGGTGGGAACTGGAGTTGAAAAGGGATTAAGCCCTCTTTCCTTTCCTTTTACAACCTTCCAGAAATCTCCCTTCTGAATTGCACCCCCTCTTTTCTCCCACATCCAGCAGTTCTACATGGGAGCCCAAAAGCCTTCATGTTTAATTCTCTAACAGAAAAGCAAAATAAGGAGCTCCCTGATTAAACATACCATTAAGGACCTAAGCTTTTTCACCCCTTCTGGAAAATACCTTCAGTTTAATAGGAAAAGGTTACTAACTGCTTATCTGAAGATTATCCATTAACCTCAGGGCTGGCCATGTGACAGGGAAGAATTTTTCCTGCATCTGAGGGGGGCTGAGTCATGTTGCTATTAGAACAAGTTAACATCACCTAATATTAAGTGCCAGGATTATCTTCTCCCTTTGACACACCCCTCAAATGTTAAGAACCTGTACCAAGACTGCCCATCTCTGCGATAACATGGGAAAACAGGAAAAAATCCCTCCCATTCACTTATTTTATAAAAAGGCCCCATTCAAAATTCCAGAAATATTCTCAGGAGCTTCAAAAGAAAGTGTGCGTGTGATGCACGCAAAACAATCTGGGAGGAGGAAGGTGTGCCTCTATTTCCAGTGGAGATTTAAATGTAGATTTATTACAGACAAAACTTGTTCTATCAAAATTTGTTCTCAGCCTCCAGGGACTGACTCCTCCACCACTATATCGACTTTACTACTGAAGTGCAGCACTAACGATGCAGGCTCTCCATGTCCATTGTGCTACTATAAAGGATCATTTTGTTATATAGACCATAAAATGCAGTGGAGGAAAAAAAAAAATGGTTTGGTTTTGTGCCTCTGCCTGCTTTCATGCCTGCATTAATGCAGTAACTCTTTAAATAAACACTGTATACTGTTTTATTGCCATTTATAAAGATACAAATGATGGTGCAAATGATGGTTGTATTCAGAATCAGCTCTTAACCTTTAAAAGTCTGCGGACCACGACGGAATTAAGTCAGGATTCCATAAACTGGAGGGTTAGAAAACCCATCCACATAAAGAGATAAATTTACTTACAAGGTGCATAGAACATGACAAGGGTGTGCTTCTTCTTCTTCAAGGACTCCCTGAAGTCTTCGCCAGCAAGGTGCATAACGCTAGTCTGTTTTTCTTCCCATGCAGGCTCAGGTGGAGGTGGTGCTTCAGGACTAGAAAAGGAAATGAGATTGGTTTGAAAATGTTTTTGGAAGCAGGCAAAGGGCATCATATCCTAGTCATAACTACTGTGAGGGAACTGGGGTCAAGCAATGCTTTAGGGTGCCTGTGCAGTAGAAAAATGTGCTTAATATTTCCAATACCAGATAACAACAAAAACGATGCAAGTTAATTTCTGGAACTCAATAAAAATATAATTTAAGTGATTGTACTCAGGCATATGAACTTGAATGCAGAATAAAGATTTCCTAAATTGCATCCAACATCTTGGTGGAAAACACATTGCTCTTGTATCACTCAATTCATAGGCATGAATTGAGAACAGCAAGCAGATGGAATCAAAAGGCAACTGATACAGAACAGCATCTTCAATTCATTCTTTTTGTACTCTTTACCTCTATCATGCAAACTTCTATAAAGAATTTCATGACCTCTTCTTCGATTCAGATATTAAAGCCAGGATGCAATAATCGGAAGACTGGGGGGGACTGAACTGGAATATTTTACCTTGATAATGAGAATGTCAGGTTTCAATTATGACTGCACATACTGACTAGATCAGAGCAATCCCGCACATCTAGAGCGCCTCTAACAAAACTTCTGCTGTTCACTAGCTCCCAGACTTCTCTCAGACTCATTAAATTCATTCCTGCTGTATCTTAAATAGTGACTACTTATATAAAATCATCAGAATGGTGCCATTGTATAAAGACCTTCATATGTCACCTTAGTAATAAATTAGCTTTTCAGGCTTTCCTGTCACTTTGAATGACACTATTTTAAGATACATCAGGTACATAAAAAACAGGTGGAGAAAAACTCAATTTTTAAAGTCCTACTCAAGGTCACCTCATGGATATCCATCGTATTTCCATCAATACTGATTTACCAGTTGTTAGCAAAAGAATTAGGACAGCTGGTCCGAATTTTCACATCAACATAGTCAGTGTGAGCTGTCATCGATTACAGTTACAGTCAGAGGCGTGACTTCATCTCACACAGACCTTCCCATGCTGACCAGAAACAAGCTACCCAGAGACTGGTAACAACCAGTGTAGCAGTACATACTACAGTCACCACAGAGAGAATTAACTGCAACCTGCATGGCTGTGACTAGACCGCTCTTTGGGATAGGTTTACACAAGCTGTACTTTTATTTCCAGCCTGTACCCCAGATGCATCCCTATTTCCACCAACTTCAGTGCAGCTATGATAATTTTATCCCTGGTCAGCAAACAAGGACTTTCAAGTACTCTATTGTGTCTCTAGTTGGGAGAACATCCAGCAGCCAAGAGCAGGAGACAAGCTGTCTGGATTTCCCAGGTTGCTGACTACCTGAGGCTGCAGACATAAGTGTTACGGAGGCAAAGCAGGATCCAGAAAGGATTAAAACCCCTTCCCACTTCCTCACTGCTTATTCATCTTTCAATATGTACAGGCAGCACCAACCCAAATGTAACTCAATACAAATTGCATAGCACTCCAAATACTCCAGCAAACTGATGAAATTAGGACAGCAACTAATACTAATCCAGTATTGACACAGCAGCCCGGAGCCTGAGTATATATATATATAGGGAAGCCAAGGGAATACTGGGTCTAAAAGTGAAATACGGATAAAACTTCCCAACATGCTACAAAGATGTTGCCAGACTGTATCTACTACCTGGTTTGAAGCACTCTGAGATGTAGGTTTTAAAAGAAAAGAAAAGAAAAAATACAGAACCAAAAAGCCCCCATTAAACCCGCTTCCCCCTCCCACATAAGAGGGTAAGAATTAAGAATACATTCCTCACACCAACTGCACTTAACGCTTAAATGATTTAAAAACTTCACCAAAAAAAATGGATTTTTTTTTCCCATTTAATAATGCAGAAAACACATTAGGCTTCCAGTACCTAAAGGAAATGCCTATTTTATTCCAGAATACTTAGAGAGAATTGTACCAGCAATTTACTTCTTTGAAATTAAATTCTTTTCATCATGTATCAAACTTAATTCTATTTATTTCAGCATGCCACCCAAGAAAAGTTGGTTAGTGCAGACAAAGCTGCTGGTTTTGTTGGTCTCATTGGCTTTCCTTCAGCCCCATGTAGAAAAATACAACTGCAGAAATTCAGTTATTAATAGTGAAATCTGCTGCTTAGTATAAAGAGGGAACAATAAATGTTCTATTTATTTTTGAGAGACATTGTTATTCCTTCTCTGGTGAGAGGCTTAGGGTATATCTGAAAAACATTTATTTTGGGAAAGAAGTACTGTGACAACGATGAAAAACCCTGCAGCAAATAAAGGATTTGGTGTGTTAGAGACCATAATTAAAATACATGTTTGTATGGCTTTGAATACTGGAATTCAGATCAGTTTTGCTAGCAAGGCAAGGTTTAAGGTTTACTTCCTCACCAAAGCAGTCCTCAGGAGCCAGTAACCTGGAACCTGAACACTATCTCAGATCCACAAAACTTACTTTTGCAGCCAGTCGATGATCTTCTTCTTTGTTCTGAGGTGTGGCAGAGTGTATTTCTCCTCTCCATCTTTAAAATATTTCAAAGTAGGAAACCCTGAGATGTGGTATCTTTCTGCCAGCGCCTTGTTGACGGTAGCATCAACTGCTGCAAGGACACCTGGACTCTAGAACAGAGACCACCAACTGTAAATCCCAGCAACATAAACACACTCCCCTAGCAGGACATGGTGGACTTTGGGGTGATCACTCATGATGTAGGTAAGTAATTCACTTTCTCAAAGTTCTCAGCACAGAGACAGAAAGACACAGAGGACTGATGCATGACCAGGCAGGGACATCTTACGGACTAAATGTAACCAGAGTGTTACGTGTTCTCCTCCCATTTCTGACAAGACTCCCTTTACATAATTCATTTTACAATGCTCACGAACTGTTCCCAGTAATGGCATTTTCTCCCACAAATCCTAATTTCTCACAGAATAAATGAGTATTGTTAAAGACAAGTTTACTTGAAGGTAAATTCATCTTTCATTAACTGGCAGGCATCTTTACATGGACCACCTTTAGAATCAGAGGAGAGCAGACGCTTGTGTGATTGATCTAACCTTTGTTTTTCCTCCTTCTCCAACAGCTATGTCTCCACTGAAGATGCCTAAAGCATGGGAGAGACTAATACTACTTCTCCTCTTGCATGGCATACACAGTGACAGACTGAATCAATAACACTAATATTATTGGATCTTTTTTCTCTGGCCATGCTGATGGAGCACTTAAGATGAAGCTAATGGAGTGATGCAACCATAAAACAGAGTATCTGAAAGAGGGATCAACCCCTTTTGTTTTTCTCCAAATTTAATTCATAAATAAAAGCCTGTATTTTTCACATTCAATATCTTTAAGTAAAGTGGGAAAAAAAAAGTCCATTTTGGATTTGATCATATTATGTATAAGGCCTACAGCAGAATACATAAACATTCTTCGATTTTGTTTTCGTTCAAGACAGAATGTTCTTTCTCAGAGTTTGGCAGGGCTCATGCATTAGCGATGAGACTGTACTTTGGAAGCACATTTTGAAGGGTCCTGTGGGAGGATGAGAACAGCTGAATTTGTTGTAGGGAAAAAAGTCAATTTTATTACTCCAGTTATTTATTACTGATTATTTGAAGAATACAATAAAGGAAATTAGCTTACATCACTTGCTACATGGAGAAACTCTGCAGCCTTCTCATATTCTGGCTTCATTTTCTTACAGTGCCCACACCCTGCCAAAAAAGAAAAAAAGGTCCAATTAAGTTGTACACGCTATGGTTATTCACTGACCCATTGAGCCATTATCAAAATCCAAGACCATGTGGTACAGGCTTACTAGAATTTAGTGTGGATTTTACTTAATTTATTTGTAAAGCTTTAGTATGATTTTGGGTCTTTCCAAAGTAGTCACTATGGTTTAAAAAAGATTTTAATCTATTAAAAATTAATAATAAACCCCATGAATTTATACCCACACACCCTTCCTCGCAGAAAGCACTATGAACACTCTTCAAGTGCGTTGCTTCTAAGCATGTTCTTGAGGGTGAGGTACTAAGGAACTAAAGTGAGTACTAAGGAAACTAAAAACTAAGTATTTTAGTTTCCAACTCTTTATCTGCTTTAAAAAGAAACACAGGCCCTCACGTGACTTCCTGAGTTTAAACACAAGCTTATGCTAGCACAGCTTAATCAAGTAATGTAATTTGAATTAAACTACACTGATAGTAAGACCTGCTTTACAGCAGTGCAGTATGTCCCTCTAGCAAGGATTTGCACAGATTTAATCACATCAGTGTAATTACACCACCACATATGCTCTCAACATAAGCAGGGCCTGTAAAACCAAGATAATGGTGCTTTCTTGCTTGCGTGAAGTTCTCCAGAGATCTGCCATTACTTCAGTGCTAAGTATTGACATTAGAATAAAGTAACATGAATGCATGAGTGAGAAAAGCAGATTTGAAAAAAATTATCTGGCTGTAAATTAAACTGCTTTCAGCTGGTGCGATTGCTTCCAGGCAAGCTGAACTTCCAGGACCAGGTGAGGTTCCTGCTGCAACATGAAGTTACACTTCAGCACCTCCAGTGTGACACTGGGCCTCCGGGACAGCCCCGTCCTCACCCCCACTATTGCTCCCTAAGGACCTGAAGGGTCAGCGCAAAGGGATGGAGCGGCTGAGACTGACACGTGGCCATGGTGAGGGATGGCTCCTGTGAGCAGACCAGAGACGTGCAGAGGTGTTACAAGGTGCATGGCATGACCCAGACACGCTGCACTCCCCTGCCCCAGTGAAATGTAATCCAGTGCAATCCCCTGCCGACCTTTTTCCTCTTGTTTGCAGCAGCAGCCAGCTTTTCTTTCTTCAGCTGTTATTGTTGGAAGGGGCACCTGAAAGCCCAGGCTTTGCTGAGCTTTCGGAAGTCATATCCGAATATACAGCTAGAAATCTGTTTCACTGCAGCTTCAGCAAAAGCCGTTTCTGAGGTGTTTGGGTAACAGGGCTGGGGTTATTTCTGCAACACTGTCCAAAAGAAAATAAACTGAGAACTGTGATTCTTAGTGCTGCTTTGATTTCCTCTAATGGGATGACTGCTGAAGCCAGCAGATGCAAACCTAAGCCTGAACTGAACCAGACAACCATGGTTTATACAGCACAAGTCAAAGAGTATTCGCAGCCAGGAAGCTGTAAGACATCCAGGTGTAACTTCACCACAGCAAACAGGGACTTCAGCAGAGCTCCAACCACAACAGCACACCACGAAACACTTTCAGGGCATGTTTATCTACAGGGTGGATACATTTGAACAAAGGCTGCAAATCCCACCTGAGAATTACAGCAAATACCCAAATGGTTGATTGCAGACCAAACTCCAGTTCCAACACCAGCTAAGGTTCAAAGCACTTAGTCATTCACATAGCAACCACAGCATTAAAAAGCCTCGTGTCCTCCATGAGCAAAACCCCAATGCTTTATCATGGTAGGCACGGCAGAACGAGAGGATCTCAGGTAGAAAAGGAAGCTTTGCTTTGGTTTTACATGGCGGTGGGAGCACGTGCCACCAAGCTAAGAACCTGATCCAACAGCTTCAGAGGTGAATTCAGGAAGAAACTGGAAAAGGCTGAGGAAGAGCTACTTTCTCAACACTGCTTGTCTTGGTTAAGAGCACAAAAGAGGCTGGCAAAATGATTTATTTGCCACCCACAGAAAACTTACAGGCATATGGCTTTGTAGAAGGGGCTGACAGTTCCCTTTGACATCTGCTTCAGTTGATTTATTTCTTCTTTAGGAGAAGGGAACTTTATTCACATTCATTCACTTCATGCTCTTCCTCAGTTCTAAACAAAGGGCATTTTGAGTCCCCAGTTCAGATACCTGGATACCTGGGAAACTCTCTGAATTAGCTAGTTCAAATTTGCACAAAAAGTTATTTTTCTGAAGGGGTGGCTTCACCTTGTGGGCTTTACACAGCACGTCCTCCAGCCAGAGCAAGCTTCATACTGCAGTCTAGAGTATCCACACAATCTCTGCTATATTCCACGATTACTAATATTAGATCTGACCAGCCAACAGCATCAAACAAGCTGAGTTTTCACAAAACTATGCAGAGGGGAAAAGAAAAAAGCCCAACATAAATCAAACAAGTTAGGCATACTTTGCGCAGGAAATACAAAATAATCCAAAGCCTCTGAAATCCATGTAAGTAATATTTTGGAGAAAGATATCCAGACTGCGAAATGTGACTCTTCTGGGTTCTTTTATGAACATCACACAGACACAGCACTACCAACGGCTCCACAAAGCCAACTCACTCATGCTTAAAATAAAGGGGAACCAGGATCAGATCTTTAAAAGCTCTTAAATGCAAAGTGAAACCCTCAAATCCTTATTATGCAATGCTTGTTCTACCCCTGGCAGAGGACAGCACAATATGCCAGCCTGGAAAAAAAGCCACCACATTAAACTGAATCTGAAAAAGGGACAACAAATCTTAAGAGCTTCTCCCACTCTAAACGAAGCTTCTTCTCTGCCCATCTTTATAATAATTCTGCTATTGCATGCTACAGCCTGCTTCTACCTACCATTGCAGAAAAGGGGAGATATGAATTAGCAGTCAGACCTACACACTGCAAATCAATTCATCTCTCCTATGATTATTTATCCTACCTTTCAATAATCCTGTGAGGATCGCCATTAGACTCTCAAGACCAATGAAAAAGTCATTTAAATGAATTCCAAGGTCACTGCCTCTCCTTTGATCGCTACATTGGCTCATCCAGCAGCAGCTGTATCTCTCTGTGCTGAGCTCCTCTAGTTTTAGACATTTTCTGTTCATAAAATGAATGGGAAAATACCAATAACCTTATAGGCCCTTAGTCCAGATGATCAAATGTACTGCATATAGTCTTCTGGGAGAGTGGAAGGAAGCCTGCAGGTCTTTAGTGAGCATCTGTGATAGATGGGCTCTTAGAAGATGCACTGTCATGTCAAGCGTACACTGACATTAAAACTAGAAGACTAAGCAAGTGAAGTGACTTGTTCAATCCCAGGTGAGAAGAGAAAGGTCGGAGTCAACTCAAGGATGCCCTGCAGCCTACTCCAAGCACTGACATCCTCTGAGCCTCTTTGTGTTACGGCAGGTGGAAGCATCAAGGGACTTACAGGTGTCTACAGAAGAGAACTCCAGGAGTCTTGGTCTTTTCTTGCACAAGACAAGTAGCTCTCCTGGAGGTGCAAGTTACCCTCCATCCAGCAGCTCAAGTTACCCTCATAGTTACCCTCCATCTAGCCGCAGAAACTAACTGGAGTTCAGAGCATGGCTTTGGTGAACAGCTCTGAACTGGTCAACTTCTTTGACCTCTCAATGACTTACCTTGCTCCTCTTGCACAAAAGAAGCCCCAGGCTGCCAAAGCCATGGCTCGAATGGATAACAGCACACAGAGTAAATGGAAAGGAGTGTTACAAGACCGGAAAAAAAGTCAAAATTTCGAAAAATCAGTGCCATAACATCTGGCACAAGACAGGCCCTTGCTAACCTTTTTTAAAACAGATGTCTAAATGAAGCAAGTATTCTGTTTTCACAGTTTATTTATAATCGATCTTCTCATTTGCACTGCACAGCCAGGCAGATAAACAGCTCCTCTGTCAGTGCAGTTGTTGTCTCACAGCTTAGCTCAGCTGCACCCCAAGAACTATGGCAATCAAAGGTCTCCACATCACCCCAGTGCAGACCCCAGTGCACCCCTCTAGAATATACACCACAGGGCAGAGGACAATGCTCGCTTAGCAGTTCACCGTTCTCAGAGTGTGACCGTATGCAAGTGCAGAGGCAAAGGCCAAGTGCAGACAGAACAATTCTAACGTGCAAGGGAGAGCACAAGGGGAAGGTTAACAAATGTACCAAACAACTTTTTTTACAAGTAAATAGCTACGCTTGGCACCATAGCAAAGGCTCACAGTACAAAGCACAATTGCTCAAACGTTTTCAATGCAAACCTTTCTACTGTTAAAACCAAGTTTTGCCCACAGAATACAGGCAGAAAACCAGACAAGCAGCTCTAGCTAAGCTCTTGTGTATGCTGTCTTAGTGCTGTCCCCAGCACATAAATCTCTTTCTCACTGTCATTCACTGTTTGCATCTTTCAGGTTATTAACAGCAATATAAATAAACACAGTGCTTTTGGTCATGTCTGCTCATTTCAAGACAACATTGAGGATCTGAAGTGTACATGACAAGCAAGAGATAAAAGCCAACACCCAGGCACTTGTGGACAAGGGATTTCTGACATGGAGAACCCTCGAGATAAATTAAATTGCAAATAAAGATTTTAAAGAATCACTGCATTCTGTCATCGACATTCTGCTTCAGTACTATTATCATGTACCAGTTATTTTATGTATTATGCCATCCCTACATCTATCTACAGCAGCATACCAAAAATACTTCCATTAGCCTGATGAGAAAACAAATTTGGAGCACAAAGCATGTCCTGCCTTCAGCAACTGCAACTGGCAGCTCAGACTACACTCAGAGCATTTACAGACAACTTCAAGAAAAGGCAAATAAAAACTCTCAAAAAGTTCAGATGCACCTTTGCTCTCTAAATGTTCAACACTTGGGAATACGCCTTTGCTTTCTCCATTCCTAATCCCAGAGGAGCAGTGACCTCTTAACACAGCAGAATAGCCAGCCCTTACGTGTGCCCTGTTGTTAAGTTCCAACATACACCTG